TACTCTTTGGAGCCTACCACAAACTTGTTGAGGCGGCTGATATCAATTGCAACTATTTAGCCAGATTCGCCAAAGATATGACTGTCAAAATGTTTCAAGCTCAGTGGTGGATGATGCTATCTCACCTTCCTCCATACAACTTTGACAATTCGCCTTTTTTTTAGCCTTACCGCATCTGCGCCTATTGGGCAGTGTCCAGTTAGAATTCCTACGATTGATAATATTACCATTCTACTTGAAAAACACTGCACTGATTGATTAGCCTTAAACTATGCTTGGGCCAGACTTCCTTTCGAAAAACTCCCATACAATTTTCCCTCACAATTTCGAACCATGAGTGAAAAAGCTCACTGCCTCGCTTATCCAGCGGCTTGCCCTCATACACATATCTCTCGTCTCGTCTCGTCGGTATGTGAGCAGAGAACAACTAAAAAAGCATATTTCTTTTCTCTGATTAACATCAATCATACATATCGATTAATGAGTCAGATATCTCTATAAAATTAAACGAGAATAATTCTTGGCTTAAAGGGATTATGATTTTTTTTTATTATGTTTAAAAGACTCTAAAGAAACAAAATCATTAGAATAGCATGTTAATAAAAAATAAAACGAAAGAAGAAATATAATTTTCACCATCTTCGCTTTCATTATAGTTTATGATTTCTCTCACGTTTCGCCTCTCAAAATAAAAGTGAAAAGATGAAAAACTGTTTTCCCTATTCGCCTTGACTTATACTCTACTTTTCTATAAAACACATATATAAATATGTTATTAAGTGTATGAGCATAAATAAGTGGATGGCTATAAAAAAAAGAAGCAACGCTGAATATAAAGTTTCTTCTCTTGCCCGCGAGCGTAACGAAATTGCTGCAAAATCGTACCTGTTTTATACACCAGAGAACTTTCAAACAAACTGCGAAACACGTGTTCAAATAAATTTTGCGGCGAAAGCGCAATCAGCGGTGGGCGCTATTAGCCTCGGGAATCGCACGGAACGCTTATCATTTTATCAAAATTAAATCAGCCAAAAAAGGCTCAGTCAGCGGCGAAAGAAATCAAATAAGTACCATTTCGTTAATTCTTTAGGCTCCAAACGATTTTTTACAAACACTAATGGCACTAAATAATAAATTATATATGCATATGTATATTAGCATGCGAAAAAAATATGTGTATGTATGTTAAATAAGCAGCAAATTTATAATGTTGTTTATTGATAAAGAAACGATTTGATTGAGTTGAAATCCAATTAAATATTTGATGTTTGTAATATAAATTGACAATCAGCAAACGGAAGCGCTGAAAAGTGCGCAGTCAATAGTAGATTGGTATTACATATGAACATTTTAAAATAACGGTATTATATACATAGGTACATATAAATACAGCAGGAGGAGTTTACAGAGAGTGGGAAATAGGAAATATTTAATTTCATGCTCCGATTCATTCGCTGGCAGAACGGAAGACTTCAGATTCTTTATTTATTTTCTTTTAATGGAAAACGGAAATCTCTTGCATAATCCCGAAAATCATATTTTAGTGAAATTTTATTTGAGTTAATGCCCTGTTTACTTACTCTTTGTCACTTAATCGTCACCTAACCACTCATATAAGCTGACCGTTTTTAGTAGCGATTCGGATACATAAATATATTGACCAGTTCCGATTTACGATACTAAAAATTTACCGATTCCGCCGTTCACTATGTCTAAAATCTATTATTATTTTCTAAAAAACATATGCAATTACGATATATATCATTGGCTATAACGCTTTCTTTCCGTAGAGGAGCTACTATTAACGGCGCCGCTTCGAAAATATTAAAATTTGGAGTCCCAGCGCTATGGCTACCACCTAAAAATCCAATAAATTAATCTTTTCTAAAACCATCCAAAAGAAGTTTTATCGGTGGTAGCGATTGCTTACACTGTTTCACTGTATCAAATCGTTTAGAATAAGAGGCTGACTTTTAAAATAGCAGGAGATATAGAGATACAAAAGAAAACAAACGGATATGAACTGTAGCCAAACAACAAACAAATATCATCGTTCAACTCAGTGTTGATTTCCCTAAGTTTTCCGTATCTGAAAAAGCATTGAAGCCGTGTCAGCAATTGAGGTCATAAAAAGATTTTAGACGAGGAAGCTAGGCAAGCCGGCAATTTTTTCAAAAACATTGTAAAAATCTTAACTTAATTTTTAAATGAGATAAATTTAACAGCTATATTTTCCTGAATTAATATAAGTCGATCCTTAACAGTAATTTTTAGAAGTAACAAAAGTTAGATATTTTGAAATAAAAATTAAAAGATGTCCTAACTAATTGATTATGCTAAAGAACATTTCTTTTGACAGCTGTCAAATTACAACGCTATGTCTTCAAAACTACGAGGTGTGTAACCTCTTACGCATTAATTTGTTTAGTATATGCTTATGCCATAGATTGATAATTAAATCATAATTTAAAATATCAAAAATAAATAACTAATGAATACATGGAAAGACTCGTTCTGTAGCGTGTCACACTTTATATACATGTATGTATGTACCCGTATATACCACATATAAAAATGTATAAATTTGAGCTTTTTTTTATCACCAAAGTAACGACGGTGACGAATTCAAATGCTTGACTACAAAAGAGATTTCCTACAAACCGTAGTAAGCTTGTTACATTAACAATAGGATTATTTTTGATATTTATAAAATCAGCAATCACTTAATTGCAGGCGCATAGATAACGGTGACATTATACACTCTTATATATAGCCAAGTATTTATGTGCCTATATACATATGTCAATAATTATCTGCGCACATTTGTTCCTATATAAATCGAAATGTATGCATGTATAAAAGTATGTACAGCTGTTTCGTAAGGAAATCGTTTCTTGTTAGGCGGATTAGCTAATATTCGAAAGCGACAGCAAGAAGAGGAAATTTTACAATAACGAATTTAAATTCGAATATGTTGCAAGAACATTTTTTTTTCATGTAATATTCAGTTTTATTTAGCATAAATTTGCTGACAAAAACAATGAATTACGTTGTTGTGATTTTATTAATGAGACAGATAATTATTAATTATTTTATTTTTACCGTAACGAAGTAAAGGGTGATCCATTTCAAAATTCAATATCAATGAGGAATGTTTATTATCATTCGAAAAAACATTAATTGGCATTTATTTCTTAAAGATTATCTCTTTCAAATGTTGGTCGCGGCTACGTCTCAGATGGTCCATCCGTTGAGTCCAGTTTTTGATGATATACATATTCCCACAGTCGGTCGAATATTATCCAATAATGAATGCTGGATCTCAAGATGGGTGATGGTGTTGCGAATAGTACGCTCGATTATGTTGACCATAAGTTGAGCGAAGCGCGCGAAACACATTCTTTACAGAACGTAAATTTTCGTAATAAAGTTGAACGATTTGTAAACGTTGTTCAGACGTAAGTCTTTCGATGATAAAATGCCAAACAATACTAAACAAAAATAATATGACAACTTGACAAGACTTACGCGTTATCAGTCAAAAAAAAAGCCTATTGAAAAAAGTAACTCTGCTTGGATCACCCGTTAATTGCATATGCACGCTGTCCGGCCTCCAAACGGAACCAAGTCTCCGCAGTCACGAGGTGTAAATTAAAATGCACACATACACGCATACAAATGCAGCGCATTAATACTGCTAATTTATAAAATTTTAGACTGCACCAGTTTTTTTTCTTTAATTTATACACAAACATACTCGTACATACACATTCACACAATCACAAAGTACTTTTATGTATGTATGCATTTAATTCTTGGCAGCGCAAATTTGAGGCGTAATAAAGCCAAAAAAAGTTTAAATTGTTTTTCTGCACACAAATTTATATATAAATATACACATACATACACACATATACATATGCACACATTTATAAAGGGGACAGCACACCAACCAGTCAATCACCTTGTTTTCTAACATTGATGAATGTACTATAGATCGTAGCAAAAAAACTTATAAACAAACCAATTTATTTTAGACAATTGAAAGTTGTGAGCTGCAGTGTGACGAAGAGTGCAAGTAAAGAATTGCTTGATGCGTCGAAAAATTGAGAAATTTATATTATAATAAACTACAAGCTGCATAGAGACTATACATAATTAAAACAAAAAAGTAGAAGAGAAAAGGCAAAAAAAAAATTGTAACTGCAAAATTAAAAAAAAATTATCAAAAACAAAACATGTTTAAAACTAAAAAAAAAAGTTAGTATAAAAAAATGTATATATGTGTATACACATGTGCATTCAGAGATACTAAATATTGGTAACTATCACTCATTTGCTTGAAAAAATATACAAAGATTTTAAGTTAATCTTTAAATGAAAATTTTTTCTAATACAATCTCCTCAGAATTCCATATCAGCACTTAAAATAACACTGCAACTTCCGCCGGATACAATGATTTGTGAATTCATGTACATATGTGTGTATATGTATCATATATGTATTTGAATGTGAGCATGATTGATGGCTTTCGAGCTCTAAGCATTCCTTATTTGCCTGTATTTAAATCCTTCAGGTATGTTACTAAATAATTTTCTGTTTATATAGCTCCAGAAGCATTTTGTTTTACCGTGATGCGTTTTATAAAACCTTTTGTTAGCTATAAATGTACTATTTCAACAATTTAATTTCACTGCCGCGAAAAACATCGAAAATATGTGAGAAGCAAGCGGCATTGACACTACAAGTAGTGTTGCCACTAAGTAAAAGTCTAGATGTCAAACTCTGATAGTAGTTATTCTGAGATACCAGTTTCCACTAGCTGTTTATTGCAAGAAATTTATGGTAGCGCATGTAAAAAGATAGCAAAACTATTAACACGCAGCAAGAAGGGTTTATAAGTAATATAAATTAATGATTTCTTTTTATTCCAGCTTATATAATATTTTAATTACTTAAGCAGAGAACATACAATAATTCTTTTACGTTTCCGCTTTAGTTCCAATCAGTCTTGTTATAAATAACGTAACAACTTATGTTTCACCATGAGTGCTGTCAGCTGTTGTGTGATATGGCAACACTAGCGTGGTGAGTAAATCATAAAATAGAAAACGCCGAAAGGAAAGTTGAAAAGTAAAATATGAAAAACAATAAAATTGAAAATATTGTGTGCGTTAAACAAAAACAACACGAATAGTTAAAATAAGAAGGAAAACTTTTCCAATGAAAGTCAAATCTATACAGATTTCTTTGATTGGTGAACTGCGTGGAAAAAAGTGCAAATAGAAGACCAGCAGCACAAAAGCTTGTGGTCAGGTGCAGTGGCACTACAAATTGGAATAGGTGTAATTGAATTTAAAGACATGTTTGCATATGTATATTGATATTAATGTACAAAAAGAAAATTAGCCAACAGGCAATTTGCAATTGGCACTTTTACGTGAGTTATAGTCTCGTGTCGTCTGCAATCCCTATATACTTGTGTGCATACATACGTATAATTTTGAATTCGCACAGAAATTGTTTATGAGTGTACGCATTTGTATAAATCATAATGCTAATGAGTTATACTGTGTGGAGGGCAACGATATAGTGAAAGTTACCGAAAAATTCCGTGCATGGCTAAAGAAGGTCACTATTTGGGTTCCGGAATATAGACGCAAAGTAGGTTGTTTGCTGCATGAGCATATGAAGGAAAAGTGTGAAGAATTGAGTTTTTGTGGTGATGTGGGTTGTGTGCGGAAAAAAGCTACTACTATTTTAAATTTGACGGTTAATGGCAATGCATGGTTTTTTATTGCGTTTGTGGCATACTAATATTGATGGCAGACGTAATATTTTGGAATATGCAAGCATCAGCCTTCCGTTTATCAATCCATTATAAAACTCACTTGAAATATGAATAATTCCCACATTTTTGCATGAAATTTTTGTTTAAAAATATGTAGTAGAAATCCTCAAACGTCTGGTAGCATCCCGATAACACCGCACATAGTTATCGTTGAGACGTATGTATAATAATCAGCTGTTGCCTTTCCTCAATTTCGGCCTTAAGCACATATATATGTACATATGTATCTACATACCATTGTCATTTTTTTGTGCAAATGAGCCATGGGTAAAATTTACCTGCGGTTTTGATCTGATTTCAAATTTATAGTTCGATAGACGGAAGGACAAATGAATTGGAATTTGTTTGTTTAGTGCAAATTAATCCGAAATGTCTCAATTAAGTGATAAATTTGCTGGTATAATTAATATAAATTACGTATAATTCGTTGATATACACGAATGTGCTTTCACCGCGATAGCTTCACATACACGCATGCAATTTATCCAATTACGCTCGGGCACTGGTACAACTTTGATCATTTTCACTTGATGAGCTCATGTTCCATTGTGGCAAAAAAGAATTAAATAAAAAATTAAATTTATAGCAAAGAAAACATAAAATATGTGAATGAAAAATTATGTTATTCGGCTTATGCTATTTAGACTTTAACATGAATTAGTTTTCATTTAAATTCGCAATGAATAAATTTTGTCTAGTATACAAGTATGTGCACTAGTGCTAAAAATTTGCAACACGAAAAAAAAATAATATTTTGAGAAAAAATTGCAAAACCTTTGGTATTGGTGTGTTAAATTGTTAATAAATAAATCTGACATAACATATTATATATATTAATTCTGTGTTTATAAATATTTCTGGAAAATTTTGGATTTCGTATAGCATTCTTTTGAGAATACGAATATGTGCAAACACATATGCAAGTAGTATTGTACATAATCACTTATCTTTAGAGCATATAACTGGAAGGCGCAGGCATAAACAAACCTTGTCTACATACAAAGTGAGTGTTTAACAACAATCAGATTTATGGCCAGTACAATTAAAGATATTAAATTTGTTTACTTTTTATATTACGCACAGCAAGAGAAGAAATCTAAGAAATCAATACTGGTTTAATTTATCGGAGAAAACCAATTTTCGCTATTGGCTTTTGTAACTATAATGGTGGATAAAGACGAAGACAAGAATATTGTAACGAACAATATAGCTCATAAACAGGAACAGAATAAGATTGCGCAAAAATCTCATAACTTATCATCAACAGCACCAACAACAACAACATCCACATCTTTACAAAACACCTCTAATGCAGCGGCAAGTTCAGGAGCTAGCTGCAATCAAATTGCAGCAAATTCTTCACACCTGGTAGGCAGTCATAACCATCCAAAATTGATACCCATACAGAGTGTACTAAACACCACCGACTCACACCATCAGAATACTACAGCAGCTACACATCAAGCAAAAGGCCATGATAATACCACAACTTTTCCGCAATTCATTACCGGCGGTGCTAGTGGTGCCCATACGCAAGTGGCCACAGAGTTGCCACACGAAGACGAAGAACGGCTGGAGAAGCTATTCAATACGCTTGATCGGGACGGTAATGGACGTATAGACATTCATGATCTCTCTGAAGCATTACGAGAGTTTGGTCTCTCAAGTGTTTATGCCGAGGTACGTTTAAATCAAAAATCACACAGCCTTTATAGTAAGTACTGTACGAATTAAACTTAGAGAGTTTTGAGCTTAAGTGTAATTTTTTGGAAATTGACATTGCCCATATTAAATATTTAATGAACTTAAATTGAATTGTTTAAAAATTAAAAATTATATTGACGAAAAATATTATATATTTGAAGCAAAAAACATAAAATAATTTTGTGTGAATTTTAGATTGTACTGTGATAACTTATAATTAAATTATAGATATGCATATTAGTGCCAAGCACTTATTAAATATAACGTTTATCTTTCCATCGCCTTTAGTTGTTTTTAAGCTTGTCCATATTTATTTAAAGAAATTTCTGGAACAATCCGATATTAATCAAAGTGGTGATGTTGGCCTTGCAGAGTTTGTGTTCTATGTGCGTGAGCACGAAAAGAATTTACGACTACAGTTTTCACATCTGGATAAAAACAAAGATGGTTTGTGTGCCAAAAAATTGCATTATAATTGTCTGCACATAATTATCAATTTTTTTCCTTACAGGTAAAGTGGATTTGGAAGAGTTAATAGACGCTTTTAAAGATTTGGGCATTGAAGTTGACCCAGAGGAAGCTACAAATCTACTTTCACGGTAGGTTGCCATACATGTGCTCTGTTATCATATATATTAACATGATTTAATTATTTAATTTTTAACTGTTTGTAGCAGTTTAATTAGTTGTAGATTAGCTGTTTAACATAACATAATACCTGAGCCACATGTCACACAACAATATTATTGTAACAATTGGATTCAATTAGTTGAAATATAATTTTAGCTATTAGAATCCAAATTAATCATTTATTAAACACAGTACATCACAAATAATATCTATAAAATTAAACGTTTAGGAAGTTAATTCAACTTCCAAGTACATTTCATCATCCCACTACTATTTTTTGACATTATACATTATGAAACCATTCATAATACTTTTTAGCAGTTTTTAGTTCCTCCAATAAAGATTTAGGGTAAGTCCAGACATTTCGACACTAATAAAAAACTTTTCCAAATACATACATACGTAACTGCGAAACTAAACTATGTGATTTGAAACAAAAGTAAAAAAGTTAAGAGAGGCGTTCTAGTTGCCTAGTTTTATTTTAATTATTCACATTTTCAGGCAGCTTGTTGTTTTGCCCGCTTTTTTTCAAATATGTGTATATATTTATATGTAAATTTAAATACAAAAAAAATGTATACTGTTTTACTAACAAGTTTTTCTTTTCTTAATAAAGCCACAAACCAATTCATTTCAGTTCGTTTTATATTTACATAATACGTAATTTTCCTAAGTTCGGCTATATTTGATGTTTGCATTTTTCGTTCCCTATTAGGATAAAAAGATATCAGAAATTCTCAGTCGTAAGGTGAGAGACCGTGTATAGATTTAGTGATCTGTATGTGACGTGCACTTGTCAATTGTCTGTATGTATAAATATGTATGTATGTATGTATCGGTAAAAACAAAAAAAAAAATATTTAAAACCTTTGCATGCTCTGTAATGATTTTCAATTTGATTTTACCATTTTCATCGACCTAGCGTATTTATTTATAATGTTTTCTTATTTCTATATCTTGCAATTACTCACACAGAATGGATCAAGATGGCAGTTTAAATATTAGCTTTAATGAATGGCGCGACTTCCTATTATTGGCACCATCCACTGATATTCACGATTTGATCAAATTCTGGCGGCATTCTACTGTAAGTATATTTGAAATACCATTTTCATATCTTTAAATGTTTGTATAGTGTGTGTGGTGAATTTTGTGGAGAATTAAATTTTTTTTTTTTTATAAAAATGGAAGAATCGGTGGTCGATAAAGTAAAAATAGGATATTTTTTGTTGTTAAAATGTGTATGTTTCTTTTATGCCGTGAAGTTATATGAATTTTGCTAAGAAATTGTTAAAAAATTGATTTTGTTATACAGACGGATATAACTAAATTTAATCAGCTCATCATGCTGATTATTTATGTATATATTTTATAGGATCTCCGCCATTTCCTTCTGATTTATTGATTTTAACAAAATAAGTACCGAATCGAAGACAGCTATAAAATCTTATTAATAAATGTTAAGCCTCCGCATATTTTAATAAGTGATCAAAGTTGACCCGGACTGACAAAAATCAACATTTTGCCGCATTTTCAAATCATTATTATGCGAATTCCTTGTGGGTCAGTTTCGACATCATATTCATAAACCCACGTCTCGTCACCAAAATGATGCGTTTGATTAGATATTTCGGGACGAGTGCAGCATTGACATGCTTTATACCTAAAACATTAACCAAAATGTCACGAGCACTTCACGCGAACCTAAAAAAGTTTATACCAATCTAGGACATTTTTTTTTATCAATTCGGTTCGCTTGCACAGTTTATTGGACAAGTTCGAGTCAAATTTCATTAGATGGTATAAACAATAACAATGATTTTCAAATTTCGCTATAAATATTTACAAAAAATTATGTGGCGAGCAGTAAACATCTATACAAAGAAAATCCAATCGCTTGGAAGATTATGTATATATATACATACGAGTATACATTCGAGTATATATTAGATAACTATAATGGCGTTTGTACGTACCCACATATACATTAAATATTATGCCTCTCTTTTGTCACACTAAAAATTGGTTACACAAATATATTTATATTTTTATAAATGCTTCAAATGTCGGTGTAAATACCCGAAACTGAAAAAAAACTAAATCCTTTGTGTTTCACTCACTGGACCAAATAATAATTTAGTGTCACTGCCAACTGATGAATGTATGGCAAATGTAACGACATCATTTACTAGCCTCTGCGCATATTCAACGTATTTTAATATTACACCTCTAATTTTCTAAACAAACAGTTGAAAGATCGCTTTTATAAGTCAATTAGCAGTCATAAGAAGTGTTAGTTGATAAAAGACGCTCGTTTTTAACTGCCTATGATTAATGGAAAGTTCCTGTGTTATTTATTAAAATCGGTTTGGGATGTGAAATTGAAATTTTTTTTTTGCTGTGATGTGTTAGCTTTTGCAAATTAGTAATGAATAAATTATTTAAATTTATTTTTTTATTTACTTATTTTTTTGTTTATTTATTTTTTTGTTTATTTTTTGTTATGTTTATTTATTTTTTCTTTTGTTTACATTATTTATTCTAACTTTTGAATATAAGTCTGCACATATATGTCAGTGTTGCGATTTTTAAAGAAATTGAACATTTAATTTTTAATCCGAGATTCCAAACAACTTGGATTTAAAATTGAGATTTTTTTTTATTTAAAAGTTGTAAACTTTTTTTTTCATATCAAAAGCAAAAGCTGAAATAAAAAGGTATAAGGAACAAAGATTAAAATATTTCTAACTGTAAAACTACAAATAAGAGTAATTAGAAGTAAATAAGACAAAAAGTGTTAAACTGTGTGTATATTTTAGTAAAAAAAAAAAACACTTTCCTTTGAAAAGATAACCAAAATGGTAGAACCCAAGTACGCAATTTCAAAATTGTTTAAAGTTCAAAAACACATTTTTTTTAAATTTTTAATTATAATTTTGTCTTAACATATTTTTATTATTTAATCCGGTATTTAGGGTTCAAATTTTCAATCCGTTTTTTTATTTTTAATTTTTCAATCCAGTATTTGGGATTAGAAATTTAAAAATAATTTTTAATTAAGATTACCAAATAAAAAAATAAGTAATTTCAGCGTGGTGCAACAACAACAAGAAAAACAATAAAACGTAAATAAGCCATTATTGCTTTATCAGCAAAAACAAAAAAGAAGAGGGAGCATTTTTGTCAACAATTTTGGAGGGATTCAAAACTAGCTTACATATATTTTAAAATATGTAAATATAATATGTGTACACATATGAGACGAAAGGTGCGATTTTTAACAATTTAACAATATTTAATAATGTGTGTTTCACAACGATATCACAAAAACTGAGAGACTAGTTTGCGTATGTACAGACAGACGGACATGGCTAAATCGACACGGCTCGTCACGCTGATCTTCTATATATTATACTTTACAGGATTTGCGCCGTTTCCTGCTGGTTGTTACTAACTTCTTGGACAACTTAATTCACTCTGTGCAAGGTATAAAAAATGTCGCTCAATGTGTTGATCGTGAGGTGAAATCGGAAATTTTATTTTTCAAATGGTAAAAAGTAACTTTCACATCTCGGTACTGCTAAGCATCTATTTTGATTACTTAAATTATAGAACAGTAATTTTAAATATAACTTGGTTGTTTGTATGTAAGAAATAATGCATAATTTTAGGCGTAAAAATTTAGTGGCTTTTATAAAAAGCCGGTTTCGAATTGATGTGCGCTGCTGACATATTGGAAAATAAAATATACAAATATATTGTATATATACTCTTTTTATATATTTAAATTAATAATAGCGAAATTTCGGTTTATACATTAAATTTTTCAAAAATGTTATACAATTACTTTCAAAATACTGTGTTTCGGTACATACATATATATTTCAATTTTTCGTGCTGACTAAGCCTTTTTTTTTTGTTATTTTCAAAACTTTGTATTACATATTTAAGTTCGGCTTCACGAAGATTCTTTCGCATTTACGTTAGGAAGAAGCCTCGCTTACACATATTTTACTTAAACAATTGGAGTTTCAGGTGATTTGCGTACGCATGCATGCAAATGTATGTGTGATCTAGAGAATTCCTTCCTTAATGTGGATTATTTCTGGACTTTCGTAAAGTGGGGTTTTTAATGTATATAGTTGCCTCGTAGTGTTCTTCTACCAGAAATCGTAGACATATCGCTTACTTTTTGAGTACAAACATTCATACATATATGCACATACACACAGACGCTCTACACTTGTAGACAGACTCTTTTTTCATAAAACGAGCGTATTTTGATCGTCAAACGCTAATAAAACAACAATAAAATTAAATATGCTCGTACTTTGCACCGAGTCAACGACAATCTTGTTAGCACTTGTGTAGCTATCAGGCGTATGCATATGTGTATGTAGGTGAGAAGAAAAGCATGATAATATATATTTGGTACTTGATTAGCCTGACTATCTTTGTAGTTCAGCAAGTCAGTCGTCAGTCTCTGTTCAACATGCTCAAATAGAAGACATGTTTCGGCTCTCGCTAGCAATTGCGGTGTTTACGTAACAAAACAGCGAACAAGAACGAAGTAATTTAATTTTTCCCAACTGGAATTGCTTCAATTTGTAAACGTTTTTCAAATATTTTAATTTTTCGAAATTTGTTGTTTTTTTTCGAAAATTTTAACTATATCTTCGAAACAAAAAATAAAAAGTCGATAATTGCAATAGCAACGTAATAAGCGAAAATAAGAAAAAAAAAAAAATCGCGTGCGTAATCTTCTAAAATTTACAACAAAACGTAACGTGTCAACGCCGATAGAAAGAGTACTCGTTTTTTAGTGTCAACAATATCAATTTTTTAACACATTTTCAATATTTAAATTGCAAAAAAAAAATAATAATAATAAAGTATCAAAATAAATAAAGTGCACTACAAATAAAAATAAAAATTCAAAGCAGGAAAACAACAACAATCGCACTGACGTCGTTCACAGTGCTGCAATTGTTGAAAATAGAAAAAGCTTACGCAAAGAGCAGAGCACAAGCTAAATTGCAATTGCTCGGGTGTAGTGAAGTGTTATCCTAACTTTTCCGTACAATACAACACAATAAGCATAAACAAACGCAATAATATGCTGCGCAGCAATCACAATTGGCCTACTGATTATCAAAATTTCCAACAAATGGCTGTTCAAGGTGATGTGCTGAAAGATTTTGTTGTAATCTTTCGTGACGTTATGACACGGGTACGTACTGCCGAAATGTCAAGCATGCCTTAACCTATGCACACACACATACACACATACAAACAAATACAAATACATACGCAAACATTATCATTTAGTGCTAAAAGTATATTTTTTTTATCAGCAATTAAGGAAGTGACTCATCTACGCCGCGCTTGTTTAGCGATTTCTCGTTAAAGTTAAAATATTCAAGTTAGTCAGACGCATTCATTGCGGCTTGCTGCGAAGAAGAAAAAACCCGCCGACATTCCAGTCTAGACGCATAAATTTTTTTTTTTTTTTTTGCAAAAATATTACAATTTTTTTTTGCAATTTCAAAAGCTGTTTGCTCAGCACTTATGCCATAACCGGATTGATTGAGCGCTAGCTGTATATATAATACTCGCTCTCCGAGAGAGAGTTTTTTTAGTGTGTTTCTCTGCTTTCTTGCACACTTTTCATTTCTTTTTTCCTAATAACGCAGCGCCCATTCAAATGCAGCCAAGTGCATTTGTTTGGTAATTAAAAATAATATTTACATACGTACATTGTAAATACATAAGTGTGTTCTCGAGTGCATATATAAACTTAGATAATATACTATGGACTTGTATGATAGCTGACAAGCGAGGAATGTCAAGTGCTATAGAGGGTGTTTGCAAAAAAAGCTAATATTTCCGTTTAAAACTGCATTATTAGTTAGTTAATTGCTGTTGTTGTTGTGAGCGCATTTATATAGTTGGCAATATGTATGTCGAGTGTTCGCTTATAATTCTCTGGTCCGGTTTAGGTCAGTAGTTCGCCGGAACGGGGCGCTACTTGTATATTTTGCGCCAATGTGGCATAACCGCTAATGGCGAGTGGACACACAGCTGTTT